ACCTTTTGGGTAGTAATCTAAACGGCCACAACAAAAAATTGTCAGGAATCTTTCCTGATGTTTTTGCTGCTCCTGATGCTCGTTATTGGTTGATGCCAGTGAAATGACTGACACTTACATTCCTACTATGCGAGAGCTTTTTTAATCATGCTAGGAGTAAAAGTGCATATCTTTCAATATCCTGTCTGCAGCTTTTGTTGCTCACTTGTTGTTTTTATGATGCGCCTTTCCTCCTGTCTGCTAGATACGCAACTGGAGCTATAGTGGAAGTCCTGGTCTTCACAGGATACATTTACATCCATCTGATCTTGCAAAAAAATCTTTAAAATTATTCCATCTCCCTAGTGTTTATTTCCAAATGCTTTTTATAAACAAGAACTTGGATTCCTTCTTTAGTCCTTTTTATTTTGCTACCTTAATTAGATTTTTAATTCTCTTAATTATCATGGGAGTTCTCCTTCATGACCTTTTTATCTGTCCTGTCAGTTGGTTTGTTGACTTCATTCCTAAACTTAATGAATTCCTTATAATGCTTACGTGTTCATGCTGAAAATACCTTTCTGGATGGTAATGTGATTCTGAGATGCCTTTTCACATCTGCTTTCTATTGATTGTCTTAAAATTGAGCTGTGCAACTGTCTTGTCTTTGCTTTTCCAATGGTGCGTCTGCAGATTATAGTAGCAGCTCTAGTAATTATGCTCCTAAGGGATTTTAGAAGTGAAAAAACCATTTAATATGATTTCAGTCCGTTGTGTCATCTAATGCTTCCCCTATAATAATTAGATGTATCTTGTGGTCTAAATTTAAGGAACCTCCTATTATATTTTTTTCTGAACTCTATTCTCTAATGAGGGCAGAAGGTTAATGTCTTGGTTACTCAAGTGAAAAAAAAGATTGGGCTTGCCTGCTTTCCCTTCTCAGATTTCATAGCCGTGGTGCACAATGTAGAGCTTAAACTTTCTCTGACAGATTTCCAGTTAATTGTTTTCATTTTCTTTTCCTCACATCTTGTCACTTATCAGCTTTATTAGTTAGGTAGTAATATACTTGGCTGCAGCAAGAATCTTTTATTTGGTGTGAGCAGTTTAACAGTGAGAGTGTATTAGAAAATGTCATCTGAGGGTAAATGAAAGCATTCTCATATGAAAGATTAAGGAAAGGTTACATTGCAGCCATATTTATTTTGCTAGGAAAGCTGTTCTTTGTTTTCAAATGTCTTTAATATCTATCTATTAAAATAACTACATAACAAGTACTTGTTATATATTTTAGAGATTTTTATAGTTGATTAATATTTAATGCCTTGCTTCCAACTGTGCCTTTTCACAAGAACTTACTCTTTTATGTTCTAGTGTGTCTTAAATGGAAATTAGAGGAAGAAAATCTGGAGAAGATTGATGCATTCTAAGGCAATTGAAAGCAAATCTGAAATGTGAATGATATTATAGAATCTAAACTGTTATTTTTTTAGTGGTATGATTTTCTTCCTTAATTTGATCTGTTTCAGAATGGCCTTCTTACTCTGCTTTTGTGTATGAGTGCTTGCTGGATGGCAGCCAGTCAAACTGGGGAGGCTTTCCTAATGCCTCCTCCTGCTTTCTGACACCTCCTTGCCACAGTCAGAGCTCAGAGTAGCAATACGTATGTTTTGATATCTAAATGATAGCTGGAAACAAATAACATAATTTTGTCTTCTGAACTGAGAGTTTTGTTTGGATGTTTTGAACCTCTAGGTTTTGGGAAACCCAGTAGAGGAAGGAAGGTCTGAGTACAAAGCCAAAAGGCTGGCTTTGACAGCAACATTGTGAAAAGTCTCAGGGTGAGAAAGCTGACATAGAAGTTGCAGAATCACAGAATCATTTTGTTTGGAGATCCACCTGTGGACATCGTCAAGACCTAACTGAGCATGGTCCTGGGCAACCTGCTCTAGCTGACCGTGCTTGAACAGGGGTTGGACTAGATGATCTCCAAATGTCCCTGGCAATCTAAACAATTCTGTATGATTTTGAACTAATACTCTAACTCCTTAGGTTTTCCTAAGAAATCATGTGCTAAGAAATCATGTTCATTGTTTCCTAAGAAACATGTTCATGTTTCCTAAGAAATCGTGTTCATTGTAGGTTTGATAAAAAATCATTTCACTATTGTATTAGTGCCAGCTGAATAACTGGTTTCGTTGGCTAGCTTGTGATGCTGAGGAGTTCGAGCTTCCCCTTCCTCTGCTAATTCCTGTAGTCATTAACTTTGTGGCAAGAATGCAGCATAAACAGTAAACCTCCTGCTGTCAGGATGCCTCTTGTTCAGGATGCTTTACAAACACGTTTTAACCTTCACATGACCCTTATGTTACAGCAACAGGCTTTAGTTTCACCTGTGAATGGCAAGCGTTGCGTTAGCCGGGGCTGCTGGTGGTTCTCGGAGTGTCCGGGAGTGGTGCTGTGCGCTGAACGTTGGCGATAGCTGTCGGTCTGATCGGCAGTGTGGCTCTGCTTGCTGGATGCCGGAGAAGCAGATGTGGCTGATGTGTTTTGAACAAGATTTCCTCGCAGATCCTGTGTGAAATCAGCCTTCATTAAGAGGTGAATAGGGGAAGACAAGTAGCTTTTTTACAAAGCATATATTGGTTTTGGTTGTGCACATCTTTCTGACTGCTTTCCAGTAAAATCCACATACAGATGCTGCCATTTTTATCTCTTGAATTAGCTTATTAGCTTCACTACATGATTATCTATTTTAAATATATCGTTCTTGGGACTGTATGTTATTTTTCTAAAGCTTTGAATGGGGACTGACTTTCAGTAGCTTCCGATAGAAAGGTCTGAGATCAGTTTTCTCTGTGTGTCCCCTGGAAGACAGAAACACAACCATATTTTTCTTCTCTGTGTTTATTGCAAGACCCTGATCGGTTTCCATACCTGTGAGCTCCGTGTTGGAGGGCTTGGTCTCTCATGTCATTCCTCCTGCTCTCCATTCAATCATCTTTTCCCATTTCCATGTTACTCTTGCAAACAGCAGGGAAGGTTGTTTATGGGCCAAATGATAAAATAGTCACTGGCAAGCAGACTTCCCCCCCTCCCCCCCCATCTTTGAGTTTCCATGGCTTTTTACTGATGGTTGGTCAAAATGGAGTAGCGGAGAGCAGAGAACGAATGGCCTCACAAGAGCCCTCCAGAGGTATCAAGCGTCTGGTCCACCGAGTCATGGATTCCCAGACTGGGCGATGTGTGAGGCGGCGGGGCCTGGGCCAGGGCTGCTGTGGCTGTGGGCCCTTCCCCTCCAGCTGGGCGCGAGCCCTCCGTGGCTTCTGCTTGCAGAAAGACGACGTGCTTCTGTGCTTTCCCATAAAGGCTTTTCCCTTACGTGCGCGCTATCTCCATCTTTTTAGTTGTAAATAGTTCAAATGCTGATGGGAAAGGTGTGAGAGAAATATCCCTGGTGGCAGACTGCCTTTGAAATAGCAAAGGGCGATTTGAATGGTTTTTTCCATAGTGTTTTCTGCTTGGCTTTAAAAATGGTTGAATAAATTTTTAATGATTCTTCCCCCCTCCCAACACTTTTATGTGGTTTTTGTATTCTGTGTGGGTTGCTCAGTCAGTAGGAGGAGGCGGCGCTGGTGTGTGCTGGGAGGCTCTGCCGGGAGCTGGGTCATCATGCTGAGAGGCTGCTGCGCGTGTTTACCTATCATAACAAAGGATCTTCTCATGCCGTTTGATTATTAAACAATCTGTATTCCTCGCTCAAGCTTTTGGAGGCTCCCAGCAGTTCTGTCAGGCTAACCTTGTTGCTAAAGATGATTTTGTGCTCTTAGTTTGGTGAGTCAGCCAGGCAGCGGGGCACTGGCCAAAGCCTCCGCCATTTTATGGAGAAGCCTTTCTGCCGCGACACGAGCCGGGAACTGCAGCCGTGCTTCAGGAGCCATGGGCGTGCCTTTAGGTGACCCCATTTCGTGCTGGGAGTGCAGCACTGGCCTGTGCTGGCGAGGGGCTGTTGGTGTGGGCCTGGTGGAGCTGCCCCAGGCTGGAAGATGTGATGTCTCTGCTGCTGCTCGGCCGTGCTCATGATGCTGAAGTCTATCTCAGCTGGCTTAGTCGAAATGTGTTTTTGTGTGTGTGCAGCCAGCCTACTTCCAGTTTGAACTAAAAAAGAAATTGCTGTTGGTTGTCACTGTTGGTTCTCTTAAGGAAATGGGGATAGAAATTTCCTTTAAATGAAAGTGTGACTGTTGTTGGATTTGGACCACAACAGCATGTACCGTATCCAGCTCTGCTCTTTATAAGCTGTAGAACTCATGTTTTTGTACAGTTTGTGTGTGTCCTCCTGTGTGTGTTCCACACAGGTATTTCCGTCTTTTGCCAAAATGGCTCATTTAGAGCCATCATAGAATTCGTAGGAAATACTACCAGTATTAAGACACAGTAAAAGTCAGATGTGCTTTTGCTTCAGTCCGTGCTGCATTATGGTGGTAGAGCTTTTAGCACTGCGTATGGAATACTTTCAAACCAAGCTAAGAAACTAGCAAGGAAGTCATGAAACAATCTGTTCTGTAACAATAATGACCTTGCTTTTTCTTGGAGGTGGAAACCATGCTAAAGTTCTGTTTAAACTCAGAGCTGTGAACACTTGGCATCTTCAGTTAGTCACTTTGACTTACATGTGCTTACTTGGATCATAGCATTTCTTTATTTCAAAGCTATAAACATATTTATGCTTTTTATTTAATCTTAGTGTACATGCAATGTGAATTGAAGTGAGTTATTCCTTATATCATTACTTCAAACCTTGAGCTTACAATACAGCCGCTATCGACCAGTGTGTGTGCCCATTTGCTCTGGGTATGCTTCTAGAATGCATTAGGTGTATTTTCTTTCTTTTCGTCTTTCGGAACCTGGAAGTCAAATTCTTCCAGCTTGTTCCATTTAAATAGTATAGTATGTTATGATGAAAAAGGGATGTAGTACCTCTTTTGATTTTATAACTGTAATTTAATTTATGCTTGTAGGTGTAGCATCTATGACTGTGCCAGTGTACATCGCAGAAGTTGCTCCACCGCACCTAAGAGGCAGATTAGTCACCATTAACACTCTGTTCATCACTGGAGGGCAGTTTTTTGCAAGCGTTGTGGATGGAATCTTCAGCTACCTCGCGAAGGATGGATGGAGGTTTGTGAGTCTTCCTTGCTAAAAGCAAAACTAGCGTGGTCGTGATTTGGTTGACAGCTATTATAATTCTTGTTGGTAAAATAGAGCTTACATATAAAGTGGTAAAACTGTATGCTTAAGTGGAACTGTAATAATTAACTCCTGCTAAATAATATCTATACTGCTTTCACTTAGGCTTAATATTCACAGTATGCTTAGATTTTTTGACTTTACTAAACTTTAAAATGGATGAGCAATAAATACGCATCAACAAGCTTGAATGATTGTCATGATGTTTATGAAAGTAGCTTGCCTTTTACATTTAGAGTAATTACATGCTGATTTTTCAAATGGCAAATTTCCTGCAAGTATGATGCTGTAGTTGCAAAATAGAGGTGTATTTCAAATGTTCTTAATCTGAGCAGTAGTAATCCAGCCAGATTGAAGGAGATCGTAGCATAACTTTATAGTTAAAAGTTTAGATTATAGAATAATACGAATCTCTTTTACTCTGCTTTCTGGATATTCTGTTCTTCCTGTAGGCTTTGCTAGGTGTTTCTGGACTGCAGCCTTATAATTACCATCCTTATAGTGGTGTGTCATTTGAGAGAGATGAGAAATTTCAGTGGCTCAGTATTCTGCTTGCAGTGCTGACTTGAAAAAATAATTAACAGAAATGTGTAGGAGGAATAACTTATACTATAGATTCCAACTTCTGAAAACCTGTGCTTAATTATGTGTACTTTTCCCTTGAAACACTCTTGGGAAAGGGACACGTGGTGTTGTAAGGCCATCAATTTCTGTTGCTGCAGCCTGGAATCATATTGCTATTTGAAAATCCTCATCTGAGGGATCCTTCTCCCACCCCCCAAAACTTGCAACATAAATATTGTTATGTTCTCAGTCTTCTAATGGAGATGAATAGGAATTCTGGGTGTACTGATGTTTGAGGTTTAAGTTAGAAACAATTGATTTGGGACTCAGTACATAGAAGAACTTGGAAGCTGATCTTTTTATAGTATGTAAAGAAATATTCATTAAAACAAAAAGTTAATATTTTCTTAATCTATGGTTTAATTTGTGTATGTCTGAAGATTCAAGAAGTTTGAGGTTTTTACTTTTTGTCCATGTTATTGCTTCCTTTGCCTCTTTTGTAAAAAGATGTCACATTTTGACCTTAAGAAAAAAGTCACTTCATGCTAGTTTTGTTTAATTTTAATTTAATTTTAAGATTTAGCTCTGGTTTGTGCTTTCTGAACATGCACTGGTTACTTTAGCTCGGATGAAAATAGCGTTTTGTGTTTTTTACATGAAGCCTTTGATGACCTTTTCATTATAATGCAGCTGCATTCTTTGGCAGACTATATGTCTGCCTATGGAGAATTGAGAAATAGCCTTCACTGAAAGAAAAACTTAGTTTTATAGGATTGCTAGTACCTTTCTGCAGTTAAAAGAAATATGCTCAATTTTGGGAAAAGTTAATGGCATGCAGTAATGCATTTCTAAGTAAAATACAAACTGAAGTATTTAATCTCTGATGCCAATTACTCATCAGTCCCTGTATTATTTTAGATTAACTTGTCGCCTAAATAGTTTGCTAATGTAATAGCTGCCTATGCATGGGGCTGGGTGGGAGGAACAGACAAGTAAAGATATTTATTTAGAAATGGACCTCTGAGTCACTGTTACTGTTAGAGGCTTTGTGCACTTTCTGTTTAGGCAGATTTTTTGAGTTCAGTTTACCTCAACGGTTAGGGATTCAGCTGGGGGAAGCTTTTGTGGATGCAAATTGTGGTTTTTTTTCCATTAGCATGCTGGCATGTAGGAGGTAAGGATGTGTTTGTAATCTGTGTGTTTCAGTAAATACTGGTGTATTGGAAGAAAAATATAAGCTAACAAAATATCTGAGAAATATGGATCTTATTGGAGCTGTGGTTTTTGTTTAATTGTTCAGGTAAACTAAGATATTCCCTAGCTGGAATTTTTGCAGATCAAAAGTAAACTTCTAGGCTTCTTTGGAAGAGGTCAGTCAAAGAGCTGGCATTGTAGTATAGGATGTATCAATTTCCAAATCAAACAGTGACACAGGATTGGCAAGTACGTTTGTATGTAAATGATTATTTAAATGAAAAATGCCATTGCAGTTGGCTGCACACACATACAAGTTACCATCTTTTGCGATGTTACTTTGTAAATATATTTAGCTAAAGTGGAAGATTAGGTGGAAGACAATAATCACTGTGAAATGTAGATTTCGTCTTTTTGTAAAACATTGATGGTTCAACTCTACCTTAAATAGGAATGAGGCCTGAAATGCTGCACAACTGTTCTGAGAATGCCTACATTGGTAAAACTTACTTCTGTTTGGAACAAAAGAAAAACCTGCTCTGGTACGATTCAGGCCTTTTAACCTATCTGAACTGAAAAAAATAAAAGTAACGTCTAGTACCTGTGGATTGAATAAGACTGTGAGGTTGGGTGTTTGTTCGGAGCTGTGTGGGATGCTGGCTTTTGAAAATCTACAGTGATGGAAATTTCAGTTTCTCAAGACAACTTGTTCAGATGTTCAGTCAGTCTTACTGTGAAGAATTGTTTTCCTTCGTCTTTGACCTGGATTTTCCTTGTTGCAACTTGTGACTATTGACTCTTGTCCTTTCATAGTGTCCATCTGAGAAGAGTCTGCCTCCGTCTGCTCTATGAGCTCTTTTTCAGTTGTGAAAGATACTGTTAGATCTCCTCTTGATCATCTCTTTTCTGAGCAGCACAAACCCCATTGTCTCAGCCTCTGCTTTTATGTCATACTCTGCAGTCGCGCGACCGTCTTAGTGATCCATTGGTATTCTTGGTTTGTAGCTTTCCCTCATGTTGGTGGTCCCGGTCTTCCAGATTCAGCACGGTGTGTTCAGTAGTGAGGGTTAATTGTTTCTTGCAGCCTGCTGGCTCATGCAGTAGGACTTTTGCTAAGGCAGTAACACTGTGGTTTATGTACACGCCAAGTGCTGTTCTGCCGGGTTGAGCGGAGCAAAGTGAAGTGAAACTGTTGGTGGTGCATTGGGCAGAAACTAAGGGTATGCTAGTGATGAGGTATCCAAGGATACTCAGCTGCGATGCTGGAGCTGTTAATTAGGGATTGTGTACTTGGCTGCCCTCAGGTAGTTTACTGCAACTCAGGACTGAGCAGGGAAGTCACTCCTGAGTCATCACATGTAAGAAGGAAAATTACAGCAATTATTGTAGCTCTTAGTGACTGTATGGCTAAGTATTGGAGTACTACAAAAAACAATAAGGTACTTTACTTTTTCTCAGCTCTGCTTGTTCTTGGAAATGCTGGGTATTAAATTAAAAATAAACCAAAGAAAACAAATAATTAAGCTGACTCTTATGTCAGGTTAGCTTTATAAACCCTGCTAATGCCGTCTTAATAGTATTGCAGCAATATGTCTGAGAAGGAGAAATGTTACAGCAGACTTACTAAATTTCATGCTGGATTTTTTCAGTTCTGCTAGACATCTGCCTTCAAATGCTAAGTCTTGTACTCTGTATAGGAAAGAAATATATTAGATTTCTGAAAGCTGGCTCACTGCATGAAATGTCTAAAACTGCCTGCTTTTACTCTAAATTGGTTGTATCAAAGTTGCTTGATCTGCAAATTGCAACAACTCTTGAACTTGCAGTGGATGTATGCTCTTAACTGAACATTTTCTTTCTGACCTGCTCCTTGTACTCAACTTTGACCAGCAACATGTCTATTGGAAAGTGACTTTAGTGAGCGAGCACTTTCTGTACACTGCTTTTTTATCTTGCCTGTGATAAACAATCCAATCGAGTCCAACTGGTAGCTTTAACAGGCTGGATCGAGATTTCAGGAGTGCCAATTGATTTTGCTTCCTAAGATGATTGCGGGTACCCAGCTGCTTAGTTATGGAGGCTCTGCTGCATTTAAGGGACTGAAGGGCTTTGGAGGAGCAGAAATTAGGTAGTGTAAGTGTAAAGGACTAAATCTGTTTATTTATATGCATTAAAAGATCCTTCTGCTTGCAGTTTGACAGAACACAGCAACTGTGTTCTTAATTTCTGTTTTTTTTCTACTCCTCATTTGAAATAGAAAAAGCTTTCTAAATACCACTCTAATGGAGATATTGAATATACAATTTAGTGAGTTTCAATGGCATATGTGTACAGTTGATTCGGTATACAGCATGTTTGTGGAGAGGGAAGAGCTTAGGAAGGAGGGAGAACATTAATGAATGAGAACATTAGTGAATGAGGAATGAGCGCATTAGTGAGCTAGTGACACTTGTTAGATTTGTTGGCTGAAGACTACTTGACTAAGAATCTTTCCACAAGCTTTGTGTTTTGAATTTATTTTCTTCCATCTGCTTTTCTTTTTTTTTAACTAATGATGAGCTATGCCATTCCTAAAGTGTTAGAAAATAAGAGAATTGCTCACAGTTTTCTTTCTAGACCAAGATTTACTTGTATGACCTTGGGAAATTTTTGCTGGTTTTAGGAAGAACTTGAGGGCTCGGCTTGGGGATGGGAGGACAGGCCTGCATACACGTAGTCCCAGGATGGCCGTCCTCTTTGCGTGGCCTTTTGGGTGTTCTTTGCCCCATTCTTCAGTTTTCTGCCCTGTTGTATTGCTCATATTTTTCTTTGTTAAATCTACAAATGCCTCTAAGAAAGTCTTTTTCCATTTTCATCTGAAATGCATTTGGATTTGGAAAATACATTTGATTCATTGCCCCGAAACAACGTTTCCATTAATGGTTGTGCTCTCTTTCCTCCTCTATTAGCAATCTCATTTCTTAACATGCTTTATAAAAACATCCAGGTGAGAGACTGCCGAATTGTCTGTGTGACGCTGGAGGAGAGATTAGCAAATCTCCTTAATCTCCTGACTGATGTCAAGGTGTGAAGCTGTTTGTGAGTACAGACTTCCTCAGTATTCAGTCTGAGAGCTAGTTTCTGGAGGTGTTTTAATGATTATCACCACTGATGTGAAACCCATGATAGTTGCAGTAATGTACAGGTCACACCAGCACAGTTTAAAGTCTTTAATGGAAATGAAAAAAATCTCAGTGAAGTGCAAATGGGAAAAGGTTAGATGTAAAAAGCAGAACAAAACTATGGATTGTTCTGCAATTCTTGTTATTCTTCTTAGTGTTTTATTGAAGGAGTATAAAAATGTGAAGTGTATAGACCAGAACCACCCATGAAAGTTGGTGGCGTGCTTGTCTTGCACCGTCTTTTTCCCCTACTTTAGCTCGAGCAAATCGTGGTATTTGTGGGTGTTGTCACAGGGGACAGTGCTGATCCCTGGAAGCATAACTCTCTGGCTAGTGGTAATTCACTGTTGAGTAGAGAACTAGCCTTAATGCTGTAAACAGTAACCGCCCCGGGCATCTAAAATGCAGTTTCGATTTAAAACCTAACGTTGCAGCTGGTTGAAGATTTAAGAGCAGACTCTCTAAAAGATCTGGTGTAAATTGCTGTGCTGATGAAATGAACTTTTTTTGGTGTTTCTGCTTATAGTCAGAAATTTTCAGAAGTAAAACAGGCATCTTCTTATACAAGAGGCACATTCCTTGTTCTTGTGTGTCTGTGTATACATAGTACTGACCAAACATTTTTCATAGTCTGGTTTGGGATTTTTTTTTTTTGATGTGTCTGTAAAACAATTAGCACGATTTCAGTCTCATATTTGCCATCAGCAGTATTCATTTGTTCCCCGTGCCTTGGCTTTCTCTTTCTGTTCATTCTTTTATCTTCACTGAAGGGATGATCAGTTTCCAAACTACCTGAATGTTTCAGGGTTTTTATTTAGTCTGATTTAGTGTCCTTGGGACCAGTGACTGTAGGGTCAGTAGTGGCAGAGCAGTCAACATGTCCTTGAGATTTCCTGGAATTGAAAGCAAGGGTCCTGTTTTCTAAAATACTTGCAGAATATGATTCTTGCCTTCTTAACTTCTGGTGATAGAGAATATGAGGGGAGGAGGTTTGGTTTGTAAATTACAGCTTGCATAGCTGTAGCTGAGTCTTCTCATAGAATATTTTTGTAGGCAAATATTTATTTTATTTTTTTTTATTTCCAGGTACATGTTGGGCCTGTCGGCTGTTCCAGCAGTTATACAGTTTCTTGGATTCCTGTTCCTTCCTGAAAGTCCCCGCTGGCTCATTCAGAAAGGCCAGACTCAGAGAGCACGGAGAATTCTGTCTCAAATGCGTGGCAACCAGGCAATTGATGAGGAGTATGACAGTATCAAAAACAACATTGAAGAGGAGGAAAAAGAAGTTGGAGCAGGTATGCTGAATGCTTGTTGGCCTCTGCCTATCAATGGGGAGATAAAAGTCAGAAGAAATGTTGAAGTCGTAGCCTGTGGGAACTGGATGTTTTGCTTTTCCTTGTCTGTTTTGCTGCTGTTTGAAATATTTCATATACTGCTAGCTTCAGAAGCAAACAGATGTTTCTATGATCCTCCAGTTTTAAATTAGGTTCTGATTTCTTAAGTGAGGGAAAAGTAAAGTTGTGTAAGATTCTACGTTTATATCACCTACGCTATGTGAGAATTGCACTCAAGAAATTACTCAGTTTAAGAATGCTCATCTTGAAGAGTGGAAATAAATAAAGTTTCGTTACTTTCATCAGTGGAAAAGGTCAGACACTAGCAAGGTCAGAAGGCATTTTACATGCCTGAAACATCCAGAGGCTGTGTCCTGGCTGACCATATTCTAGACCAGCAGGCTTTGGAAAGATTTACAGAACTAGGCATGTAATATAGATACTCTTTTTCAGTAAAGGCAGCTTCCAAAAGTCCTTTTGGTCTGCCCTCAAGAGAATAAGGCATCTAAATCAAATCCCTTTTTTATTCTTTTATATCCTTATGCTGTAATTGCTCAAGACTTTGTGTATGTACTTGTGTGTGTACTTGTAAAGCAGTGTTACCATTCCATTGGCTTTCTGTCCACTACATATTTTTCCTTTGCTTTGTGCTGAAAATGTTAATGTGGTAATCTCAAGTAAGGCTCCTAAGTAAGGCTTATCGTAATTCTTGCTTCCTTAAACATTGATAGGAAAATACTGTAATTTCTTAGAGCTGATGGAAAGAAAAATGCCAGTTATTTTATGTCTATGTAAATTGAAATTCAACATCTTACAATACCTAATCTCATTGCCTCATTGAGTTTGGCTTTGAGCCTTGTGATAAATAATTATCTGGAAAAAGTTATCTGCTACATACTAATGAAGGGATTTTCAAAATATTCATCACTGGCGTGAAGTAGGGTTGGTTTTTTTTTCTCCCAGTATGCTTTTGAGGCTTTGGATACTTGTTTTCCCACTTCTTCAGTTTTGGGGGGTGGAAATGAAGTTCACTGAAGCTGATTTGATAAAAAGCTGAAGTGGATATTCATAGAACAGCTTGGGTCTAAGAGTCCTGTGCTGAGGTTATTGATTGGGCTGTTTGATTCCATGGAGAGCCACTTAATGTCTAATATTAAAGTTTTTATGCTTTGTAGAAATAGAAGAAGCAGGTGTTTGACCCATCCAGTTCCTTATTTTCAGTCACTGGGCTATAGAGTATGACCTTGTTTCTGTCTCTCAAATCTTTCCTCATGCTGCTGTTTCACTATTTGTAAACTAAATGTGGTGTAAGACTGCAGCAGGACTGACTCCAGCTCAATTGTTAAATCAGTACTCTATACATTTGTAACTTGGACTGGAGCACTAATTAAGAGGTTGTTGGCTTGCTGGGATGTGTAGGTCTTGATTTCCCACACCCGCCCTTTCCCCCGATAGCTTACTGTGTTCCTGGAGTTGAGTTAAATCGAGCGCATTTCTGGGAGAAATCTTGGTTGCAGAGAATCCGTGTTTTCCTTTCAGGTAATCCACAGCTTCAGAGTTGTCACCAAAGGGCATTAAAAAGGTGAGGGTAGTTACAAGTATATGCTGTGCTGCTTGTTGTAAGCGCTTAGCAAGTAGACATTAGGTCATTATGGTCACTCTCGTTTTTGATTATAACTTGGTCATAATTGCCCTTCATCCCATTTCACCCAAAGTCTTCATTGTTGTAAAAAGGTATGTTGTGTGTCAGCATCAAGACACACATTATTTTGTTATCTTTCTGTGACTTACAGGTGGTCTTTACAAGTAGTGTTAAACTGTAATTACTTTCATTTTTTGAGGGGTTGTCTAGATCCTCAGTATTGAATTTGGCATGCATAGTGCAAGAGCAACTTACTGTTAATGATTTCATAGCCAGGTGTTCAGGTATTGACAACTCAAATGTGTGCTTCGGCAAAGACTCTGCATTTCATTTTGCTTTGTCTATTTTGGGTTGGTTTTTTTTGTTTGTTTGGTATATGCCTGTAGTGCTTCTTGTATTCATTTCTCCAATTTGTGGCAGATGCTGTTTTAAAACACGAGTTAATAGCCATGACAAATCATAGTAGTAATTCCTATCAAACATTGCGGACATCATTCCAGTTTTACAAAAAGCTTTAATGACCCTAAATTGACAGTGTGTGTATGTGACATTCAAGGAAAGAGAACTTCGTAGTTTGAAAATTATCTGGATTACTTTTAGGTAATAGTGTCTTTTTGTTTCCTGTCTTCTCGTTTCTTGAAAAAGAACAGATGTTCTTTTTCATTAATTGATAGATGAGCATCTTTGCCAGTTTCTTAGAGCATCATTTTCTAAGTGAAGATAAGACTGGTTTGACTCCTCTGCAAGGGAGTAACAGAATGTCACCGTAACATATTTATTGTCTTTTTTAACTGTTTCATCAACTATTCTTGTCACGGAAATATGAATCACAGGGGAACTTCATCTGTGTTGTTTAAGCTGCTTTCTTAAAGGTTTGGTTTTTATTTCTGTCATAAAACCAGAGAAGTTCATTGCATTTTCCACATGGTCATCAAGCAGTTTCTGTCCTGAAGATAATAAAAATGCCTTAAGCAACAAACTTCTGTTTCAGAAGTCTTTTGTACCAATGTGGGATACCTGTTAAGTGAATGATTCACATTTCTTTATCCTTTCCAATACATTCAGCCAAATCACTGCTGCTGATACTGCTTAGCAGCTTATATTTTAGCATCTTCAGATTGATATCAGGAAAAGGATGTATCTTTTTGACAAATGCTTTTCCCATGACCAGTTATGCAAATGGTTTTTTTTCTGGCAGTGATGAATACTGCTTTTGCGTGCTCTATTCTGTACTTCCAGTGTGACTTGGTGTTGTAGCCTTGCATTTTGAGAGGGAAGGGGAGGGCACTGCATTCTGCAGTAACATTACAAGAGAAGTTGAATCTTGGTCAAGTCAGCTAATCATAATCTTTTAACGTCATCCCTCTCTCAGATGGTGGGACCATAGTGCGAAAGGGAGCTGGTGATAGGAAAATCAAGGGTAGAAGGACTAATGAGGAGGATGTTGGGGAGAAGAGAGCTCCCCAAGAGTTGTGGAAGCAGTAGTTTATAGGTGCAAAGTGGCCTTCACCTTCAAATAGGCTGTGGGCTTTGCAGATTCCCCAGTGCTTGGCTCAGGCTCTGAAGCCTTAGAGAAGAGGAGAGAGAATGGTCAGAAGGGGTTTGCAACCGAGGGAAGGATCAAAGACGTTGCTAGGAGAGGGTTCTGGAGTGACTCTTCCTAGCAAAACATGTCTGACTCGCACTGCTGCTGAATTGTAGTTTTTAGTACAGTTAAGGCAGAGGTTCTGTACTGCACATTGGTTGAAAACAGGCGGTCAAATCATAGCAATGCAGGCAAGCACTGGCACAACAGCTTAATACGCAGGTGTATCCCACATTTCTCTAACCTGTGAGTTAGGGTTGCAACTCTTGTCTCAACCACATCTGCTATGCCTGTGGACCATTAAGTTTTATTATCTGTTCTTATGCTCGTGTATGTGTCAACTTCTGATCAGGAAGATGTCTTTTTTGCACATGTCATGCTTAGTAATTCTGGCCGTGTAAAACTGCTGGGGCTCGGTGGTGCATGGAACCATGCTGCTTCTGTCAAATTCACCGAGTGATTTAGAAAATTGATCATTACACTGTAGTATTGTTTAACCTGCCATTCCGTGTCTGTACCAGAACGTTATGTAATGGGCACTGCTTCTAGATCAGACATTTTCTTGGGTTTTCATTATTTTTAATACATTTTATGTAATAGCCTAACTTTTTTTTGTGAGACCAAGAAAAATGTATCCATGCCACTCTTTCACTCCTGTAGGTTTGAATCACTTTAATTCTTTGCTGAATTTCCTATTGGATCAGTGAGTCAGTCTCCTTTTTTAGGTTTTGTATTTCCCTGTTGGAGATAAATGTGTTATGATATAAAGGTAAAATCACCTCATTACCATTAGATTTCAGCACGTAACTTTACCCAACTGACTGTCAGCTGAAATAGGATATTATCAGGCAGGAGATCCGGACCCTCAGTACTTCCCGGTTCCAGTATATTTCTATTTCTTGCACCTTTTCTTCTTAAGTAATATTTTAACTTGTTAGTATTCCTGGCTATGGCTTTGGCTGGAACGATTTCACACGCGTCTTTCTAGGGAGATACAGGAAATCTGCAGTGTTTTCATTCTTAATCATAGTTCTTCCCTTACTTCTGGGAGTCCTTTTTATCCTAGGCCATTGCCCGACAAGCAGAGTGTTGAAAAGACACGCTTATTATTATTGGACATCAGCTGGAATCTTATTTAGTGAAACTTGATAATACTGCGGTGCTCTGGTGGGGCTGTGCAGAACTCTGAATCATTCCACTTCCAGGCACTCAAATCCTTATTTGAAGTTAATTCCTCTTTTATGATATAAAGTGGCTGTTGTTACCTGTAACCATGAAATTAGGTGGAAGTCTTTGGGGAAAAAGGTAATAAAGGAGTTGGGCTAAGGATTTGTTGGAGAAAAGCCCCAAACCAACATGGTTGGTAGTCATGTCAGCCTGAAATTCTTGCTTGTGGCAATACCAAATGCCAGGGTCAGTTTCTGGTGGGTTTTGCCTTTGGATTTTGTGGGAAGCAGGGCCAATGCAAGAGATATTTGAAAGGAATATCTTTGCTTCATTCTTGTATTTTAACCATTTGACAGGTAGAGTTATTTCTTTGTCTGTTCCCTTAAGAAAAATTCTTCCTATGTCTGTCTCCATTGGAATTTGTTTTGAGTTGAACCTGTAAAAAAACTACTCCTGGATAATTTAAAATTCGTGCAATTCAGGCAAATAAAACATGGAGACATTTGATCTTGAGAAAGTATACTAACTCAATTCAGCGTACAATCAGATAACAAGAAAAAGCCTTCT